AATTGCACTTAAATCTTTAGCAAACTTCTGCTTCAGAATACACAATGCTCTGACATAAATGTCTTGTATAATCAAGATTTAATACTCCTAAAACCAATATTACACTATATGTTACCTAACGAGAATTTAAATTAAAATATGGGAAAAAGGATTTAGTAGCATTTAAAAAACAGCCCAAAATTATATTAAAATCAAGCTAAAATGGCTTTCAAAAATGATTTTTAAAAAATCTTTTTTGAATCCTAGAGATGTATAACCAATTCTACATTTTCTAACTAGGAATGCTGCTTTTGTAATATAAAGTTAAGATGGAAATTTTCACTTTGTTTTTGGATTTTTCTTCATTTTGTAATGGAAAAGAAAATATAATACAGGACAAATTTACAATGCTAAGGGACATCAATCTATATTACAATATAAAGTAATCTGCATTATATTTTAGTTGAGTAGAGCCAAATAATTATAGATAACATATATATCAGGTCATTATTATAAACTTCCAACACTATTTTTGCCATTTCAAATTCAAGCTACATTTCTGGAATTTTTAAAAACATACATTATACATTCTTACACTAGTTAAGAATTTAAGGGGCACTTGTGTGGCTCAGTCGGTTAAGCACCCAACTCTTGGTTTCAGCTCAGGTCATGATCTCACAGTTGTGGGACTGAAACCCGCACAAGGCTCCTCAACGGGTATGGAGGCTGCCTGGGATTCTGTCTCTCCTTTTGCCCCTCACTACCCCAGTCCACTTATGCATAGGCACAAACCCTCTCCCTCTCAAAAGAAAGGAAGGAAAGGAGGGAGGGAGGGGGAGGGAGGGAGGGAGGGAGGGAGGGAGGGAGGGAGGAGGAGGAAGGAAACTTAGTAGTGTTACACTGTTACTCCAATCTAAATGTTTCAAAAACTTTCTTACACTGCTTCTATAAAGGCACTGAAATAATACTGAGAGCTTTCCTAAATCCAAGCATCATACCTGGCCTGTTCATGGTTATAATCTTAGCCCAGCTCACATTAAGGAGTCATCTAATTTTTGTTATATGAATTCATCACTCATTTAATTAATTAAATAAGCCCCACAATCTACTCCATTTTCAATTTTTAACCACGCCAGTACTTGATAAAGAAAACTCACATTGCCAATACATAGAAAAGAAATTAATACATGATTCTTGTCTTACTACTGAGCTAACCAGCTAGAATACCATAAAAGGTTTACTGCAAGTTTCTCTAGCTATCATCTTAAATTCCAAGACCAATATTCTTATTCTTACATGTTAATAAAAATCTTAGTCATGCAAATCTAAAACCATACATAGTAATGTATTGGACAAGTTAAAAACTGCCAAATTCCTGATCTGCATCAAAATATCTTTTTAAGGTTTCTTAATTCTATCTAGGAGATTTTAAAATAAACAAGCAATTTGATGATACCAAGGAATTACTGGTAATTGTGTTACATGTGATACAGCCCTGTGGTTTTAAAATATTCATATTTACATTCTTAAGGATATAAGGATGAAATAACATAGCATCAGCGATTTGTTGCAAATAGTTAAGCAAAGAAAAAATAAAAAGGATAAATAAAGCAAGTGTAACAAAATCTGGATCACTGCTGAATCTGGAAGATGGCGATATGACGGATTATTATTCCATTCTATTTCTATGTGCATTAGAAATTTTCACTACAAATTTTTAAAGAATGGATCATCATGATGAACATAAATATAGTAACAAAAAGATAACTAGAAAATCCCAATATTTGAAAACTATTAAGATATATCTCAATAATGAGAGAAAAAAATCAAGTTTGAAACGTAAGTGCTTCTTGAACTGAATGAAAACAAAAATATTTCATCTCTTCAATGCCATAACAATGAACAATCATACAGTTATGAAAACAGCTCCACTTACAGCAGCATCAAAAAAATATTTAGGAATTAACCAAGGAAGTGAAAGATTTATACAATGAAAACTATTAAAAATTTCTTAAAAAAATTAAAGAAAGAAAGAAAGACACATCTCATGTGCATGGATCAGAAGACTGAATATTGTTAAGATGTCAACATTACCCAAAGCAATCTAGAGATTCAGTGCAATCCCTGTCAAATCCCAATGACATTTTCTGCAGAAATAGAAAAAAAAAATCTTGAAAAAGAAAAGACTTAGAGGAGTCACACTTCCTGATTTCAAAATTTACTACAAAGCTATAAGTGTGTTTGGCACCTGGGTGGTTCAGTCAGCTAAGACTCTGACTCTTAATTGCAGCTCAGGTCATGATCTCAGGGTCATAAAATCGAGCCCCATGTATGGCTCTGTGATGGGTGTGGAGTCTGCTTAACATTCTCTCTCTCCTTTTCCCTCTGCCCCTCAGTCCACACTCTCAGTGTCTCTGAGACAAACGAAAACAAACAGAAAACTATGTGGTAGTGATATAAAAACAAACTCGCAGGCAAATGGAACAGATGAGAGAACCCAGAAATAAACCATTCTGTATGTGGTCAAATGATCTTTGACAAGAGTGGCAATACTATTAAGTAGAGAAAGGACTTTTTCAAGAAATGATGCTGGGAAAACTGCATACCGACCTGCATAAAAATAAAGTTGGACCCTTACCTAAAACCATATACAAAAATTAACTCAAAATGGATCAAAAAGTAAATCTAAAACACAAAACTATAAAACTCTTTTTGTGACTTGGGATTTGACAATGATTTCTGAGATAGGACATCACAAATACAGGCAACAGAAGAAAAATAGACAAATTAAACTTCACGAAAATTATAGAATTTTGTGCAATGACAGTAGTAACAAAGTAAAAAGGCAACCCACAAAATGAGAGAAAATACGTACAAATCTGATAAGGGATTAATACCTAATACCCATAATATAGAGAGAACTACTGAAATGCAACAATAGCAAAATTCAAAACTAGGCAAAGACTTCAATAGAAATTTCTCTAAGGAAGATAAACAAATGGCCAATAAACACAAGAAACAATGTTCAACAACACTAATCATTAGGGAAATGCAAAGCAAATCTAAGAACTACCACCTCACACCTGTTATAGCATGGTGACTATCGAAAACACAGAAAATAACAAGTGATGGCAAGTATGTGGGGAAACTGGAAGCCTTGTGCACTGCTGATGGGACAGTAAAATGGCATAGCCACTGTGGAAAACAGTATGGCAGTTCCTCAAAAAATTAAAAACCGAATTACCATATAATCCAGCAATGCCATTTCTGGGTATGTAACTAAAAGAACTGAAAACAAGGTCTTGAGGAGGTATCCATACACCCATGTTCATAGCAGTATTACTCACAACAGGTAAAAAACACAGAAGCAACCTACGTGTCCATCAACAGACAAATAAATAAGCAAAATGTGGCATATACATACATATAATGGAGTGTTATGAAGCCTTAAAAAGTAAGAAAATTCTGACATATGTTACAACATGGACAAACACTGACAACATTATACCAAGTGAGATTAGCCAGTCACAAGAAAACAAATAAGGTGTTGATTCCACTTAAATGAAATACTTAGAGTAGTCAAAATAATAGAGAAATAAAGTAGAAGGGTTGTTGCCAGGATTCAGGGAAGATGGGAATAAAGAGTTACTGTTTAATGGATATGCATTTTCAGTTTTACAAGATGTCAAGTATTAAAGAGATGGATACTGGTGACCTTTCCATAATATTAAGAAGGTATATATTTAATTCCACTGAACAGCACACTGGTTAAGATAGTATATTTTATAAGTATTTTATCACAATAAAAATAAAATTTGGAAAAAAATAGAAGATAACACACCAAAAATTCATGGGATGCAGCTACTGCAGTGAATAGAGAAAAATTTAAAGCACAAATTATATTAGAGAAGCAAACTTTCAACTGAACACTTTAGTTTCTACCTTAAGAAACTAGAAAAGAGCATATTAAAGCTAGGGAAAGCAGAAGAAAAAGAAATAATAAAATTAAGAGCAGAAATCAATGAAACAAAAATACAGACTATAAAAAACTAAGAACTGGGGGATCCCTGGGTGGCGCAGCGGTTTGGCGCCTGCCTTTGGCCCAGGGCTCGATCCCGGAGACCTGGGATCAAGTCCCACGTCGGGCTCCCGGTGCATGGAGCCTGCTTCTCCCTCTGCCTGCGTCTCTGCCTCTTTCTCTCTCTCTCTCTCTCTCTCTCTCTCTCTCTCTTTCTCTCTCTCTGTGTGACTATCATAAATAATAATAAAAATAAATAAATAAATAAATAAATAAATAAATAAATAAATAAATAAATTTAAAAAAAAAAACTAAGAGCTGGCTACTTGAGAAGACAAGTCATACTGATAAACTTCTAAACCAGACTATTAAGGAAAAAAAATAAAGGAAACGAGTTTCCAATAACAGAGATGAGAAAGAGATCTTAGATAATCTAAAGACATAAAAGGATAATAAAGAATATTGCAAACATTTGAATGTGCATAAATTCAACAACCTAGGTGAAATGGACAAATTCTTTTAAAAACACAAACTAAAAATCATGTTTAATCAAGAAAAATATCAATAACCTGATTAGTCCTATTTTTTAAAATTATTTTATATTTGGAACTCTTTCCTCAAACAAAATTCAAGGCCAAGATGGCTTCACTGGAGAAGTCTATAAAATATATAAGGGAGAAATAATACCAATTCTTCACAAACTTTTTTAGAAAACTGAAGACGGGAGCCCTTATGAGAAGAACATATCCTGTCACCAAAACCAAAGACATTTGTAATAATACAAGCTGACCCTATGAGGTGAATACTATTAATCATTCCATTTTAAAGCGAGCATTGAGGACTAAAGAAATTCCAAAACTTGCCCAAGACCACAAAACTAAAAATTGGGAGGCAACTTAACTTCAGACACAGGCTCTTAACTAGAACAATGAAACTGCGTGTCAAATTAAATTCTAGATACTCTTGCAAAAGTAAATAGTAAAAAATGCTGACCAACACTTACCTAGAGACTATGCTGGAACCATTATAGAGATCACTAGCATATGACAATGTAGCCAAAGGTCGTACTGAATTATACCGAGTAAACTTGGACAAGCATTCCTGAAATTCATCCAACTGGCTTGCAGTTCGACTATCATCTATATGAAAAAAAAAAACAAAAACAAAACAAAAACAAAAACAAAATAAAATAAATTAGTTGAACTGCAATGTAAGTCAAGGAGCAGTATACACAGATTTAAAATTATATTCTAAATACAAACAATTCTTAAGCATTTAGAGAACACTAGCATGGATAAACTGGAATGCTGATCTTTTAGCTTTAACAAAAATTTCTTAGTGGTTCATTGAAGACACTGTCTCTTTCACCATCAATAAAAACATAACATAAATATTTCTTAAGCAACAATTTATTGGGGAAATGTGGCTCTGATCAAAAGGATTTTAATCTTTTATTGAAACGAAAAAAAAAAAAAAAAAGAACAAACGAAAACAAAAACAAAATCCCGGGCAGCCCGGGTGGCTCAGCAGTTTAGCGCCACCACCTTCAGGCCAGGGCATGATCCTGGAGACCCAGGATCGAGTCCCATGTTGGGCTCCCTGCATGGAGCCTGCTTCTCCCTCTGCCTGTGTTTCATGAATAAACAAATAAAATCTTGGGATCCCTGGGTGGCACAGCGGTTTGGCACCTGCCTTTGGCCCAGGGCGCGATCCTGGAGACCCGGGATCGAATCCCACGTCGGACTCCCGGTGCATGGAGCCTGCTTCTCCCTCTGCCTGTGTCTCTGCCTCTCTCACCCTCTCTCTCTTTGACTATCATAAATAAATAAAAATTAAAAAATAAAATAAATAAATAAAATCTTTAAAAAAATATCCCTTATCGATGTTGAAAGTTAGGATGGACAGAGGAGTATATACACTAGGACAGTCTATTCATTATTGTGAAGGAACATGTTTATAGGGTTACATCTACATGACCATGTTTATTTACCTTCAAAATACAATTTATAATAACATAATTTAGGTTAAGAAAGTAATTGCTTAAGTAAAAAGAAAGTGAATTACTTGTTCATATTATACTTTGAAATTTTCAAATCCAATTATGAAAAGGAAGTAGAAAACTGTAATATATCAATTATTCTAAAAAATAAAATACTTCTACTCAAATGTCTTGGTGGTATATGGAAAACATTAATTCCATCCACTAGAACACAGTATAAATGCTTTAAGTAAAGTCCACTTAGGTTATGTGGAATTTAAATCACAAAATCATCTCACAAAAGACTGAGAATAAATACAGCTATCTATTGTCCAATCTAGGAATAAGACTACATAGAAAGTCTGAATAAAATCATTGTTTTTAAAAAGTACTTCAAGTTTGGACTTGTACTTTCCTTTCTAAAGAAAGAAAAGTAAAACCTAATTACTTTAGTCAGCTTCCTAACTGAAATTTGAAATAAGATTGTTACAACAATGTTTTAATACTTTCTTCCTTACTCCTAGCTCATACACATACAAATACATACAACTTTCTCAATGTAAACTTTCATGATACCCTCTCCCCCTTTTTAAAAGATTTATTTACTTATTTGAGAGAGAGAGAGAGAGAGAGAGAGAGAGAGAGAGAGTACATGAGCAGGGAGAGGGGCAGAGGGAGATGCAGGCTCTCTGCTGAGCAGGGAGCCCAACATGGGACTCCATCTCATGACCCTGACTAAGATCATGACCTGAGCCAAAAAGCAAGAGTTGGATGCTTAACCAACTGAGTCACCCAGGTGCCCCGTGATTTACCCATCTTATTTATCCTCTGAAAATAACAGTAGACACAATGAAATTTAGATATAAGAATCATGAAGTCTGCAGAGTTAATGTACCATAGGATAGACAGTAGAGAACTGATTTAATTCATCTGGATGTATTATATTATCTTGAAGATTAACTACTTACAGGAAGAAATTTATCTAAAACTTACAACGACAAAACAATTACTAGTCTCTGATACTAAGCTTCTATCCTCAATATTTTACATTTTAAAGATTTAAACAGTAACATAGCAAATTCACCTAACAACTTATATCAAGGTTCCAATTTTATACTGTTTCCATTCTAAAAACAGCAAAGGAACAAACTCAATTAAATGCACGGCCATAATGTTACTTAACTAATGCTCCTGCTCCATAAAAATTATTCTCAGTAAATTCAACAAGTTGGAAATAAAACAGGGATTACTGTAATAAAACAAATCAACTGTACTACAAAGTGGTTTGAATTTAACAACTAATTGGTTCTTTTTATATATAATCCTATTACTGTGAGTATTTAATGTAATAAAAAGTGACTGGAAAAAGAAAAAGAGTGACTGGAAAGACACCTTAGATATTTGTTTAAATACGAATTTAACGTAAATCTATTCTTTCATATTTTGACACCAATCCCTAAGTACAAAAAATTCACAAGCATTCAAGAATGTATATTCTGTTTAAGACCATGATCTTTTCCTGGATAGCTAAACTTCTCTGGCCATCATACCTATTCATTAACACCTACTTCCAACAGAAGTTATAAAGTGAACAATAAAAATAGCTACTCTAGTATCTGAAACTACAGGCATTCAACTTTTTTATCTGGTTATGAAAAGGAAGGATTTTGTTTGCTCAGATTTTGGTCAATAATCATACATATCTGCTAGCCTATTACTTTTCCAATCACAGATTAGTTTGTGAAACTGTATTCTGCAGCTCTTTTCTATCTACTAATGCTTTTTAATTTACTTCTCTTTCAGTAACAACTAAGAGTCCAAGGCATTAATCTCTTAATCTTCATCTTTCATTTTCAGAGTTGAAAATTGAAAGTCAAAAAGAGGGAGGTGGGTTCTCATCTAAAAATACACAAAATGATAATCAAATATTATGAACTCCATTATGTAGAAGTTAAAATTCCCTCTTCACAGTCAAAGGCACTAGGAAGAACTTCATACTCAGCAATATAGGTGTAGTCAGTGTGAAAATTCAGTAAGATAAACTTAAGACTCCTTACACACTAAGGACAACATATTTTAAGTACAAGAGAGCCATGCCCATAAAAATGGAAATCAAGCCTTCCTCCTGGTTTTAATTTATTCTACCTTCTATCTTACATCCCCAAAATAAATTGGTCTATGAATACACCTTTACTATGCCACAGCATGCAGTTACTTAAAAATTACTCCCCAATCTCTCTTTCCTCTCTTTTTCTTTTAAATGTCTGCCATTTGCTTTAGGCTGTATTTCAACATTGTACCAAAACAAAATCTAACAGGGTTAATATGAGCCCTCCGCCAATCAGAATGTAGGTCTCAAACCATTTTCAATTTCACAGCTTCCTACTACAGTTTTCAGACTATTACAGAGGCTCCATAGCATCTCAATTCCTAGGCAATATGATACAATGAAAGCTTTCCATCTTTACAACTGATCATTAATTTCATACACATTCATAAACAGAGCTTGGCTCCCTCCTAGACTGCCTATGAAAATCTTCTTTTTCCTCCATCACCACCCTAAGACGAACTTGTACAAAGATCTAAAACAACAAGTAGATTTTTTTTTTCTCCTTCAAATTTTTATTTAAATTCTAGTCAGTCAGCAGACAGTGAAATATTGGTTTCAGGAAAATTCAGCAATTCATCACTTACATACAATACCCAGTGTTCATCATAACAAACAAGTACCCTCCTTAATACCCATTCCCCATCGAGCACGTCCCCCACCTCCCTCCCTCCATCACCCCTCAGTTTATTCTTTAAGAGTCTCTTATGGTTTGTTTCCTCTCTTTACCTCCTCCCATATGTTCATCTGTTTTGTTTCTTAAATTCCACATATAAGTGAAATTAAATGGTATTTGCATTTGTCTGAGTGACTTACTTTGCTTAGCATAATACACTCTAGCTCCATCTATGTTGTTCTGAATGGCAAGATTTTATTCTTTTTGATGGCTAAGTAATACTTCATTGTTTATATATACCCCATCTTCTTTATCACTCATCATCACTCAATGGACATTTGGGCTCTTTCCATAGTTTGGCTACTGTTAATAATGCTGCTATAAACATCAGGATGCATGCCCCCCCTTTAAAACTCTATTTTTGTATCCTTGAGTAAATACCTACTAGTGCAACTGTTAGATCACAAGTTCTATTTTTAACATTCTGAGGCACATCCATACTGTTTTCTAGACTGGTTACACCAGTTTGCATTCCCACCAACATAAAAGAGGATTTCCCTTTATCCACATTCTCAGCAACACCTGTTATTTCTTGTATTGTTCATTTTAACAATGTGTCTAATTGAGCACCTAACTTATACCAATCTTTGTATTTTGTATAGATATATTTACATCCCCTATAAATATCAAAAAACAATGAAATAAAACACAGGGATGGTGTTAATGTCTGTACTTCATTGATGAGCAAAGACACTGAGAAAACTCACAGCTTGAGGGCAGAACTACATTTACTTTTTGAAAGCAATGAAAATATCCAATGCTAACATGTCCTTGACTTTGCATAAGTCATTTCCTCTATGTTGAAGATGTTTCTAATTACCTTATTTAGTTAATGAATTTTAGTCTTGACTAAATACAACCCTATAAAATCCATACAGCTATCATTCCATTTATCCATTTTCAACTTGGCACAGATTTTTCATTCCTAAGTTATATTAATGGATATTCTTCTTTATTCCCAATACACTTGTATAACATATAATATCACAGAGACAAGAAAAGACAAGAGATATCAGTTCATCTTTTTATTGTTATCCAAAATGATAGTGCTTAGAACTTAATAAATACTTAGTATTTAATAATAATATTTAATAATAAGAGAAAATTGAATGGATTTATTTTTCCTAGCAACACATTCAAGGCTGATGTTTTTCTTAACTTTACATATAGCTCACTACATAAAGATTGAAATTTCTTAAATGGAGAAAAAAAATAGCTATGGGAAAGCAATGTTCTTCAAGATCTCTAAGAACCTCCAGAACACTCTGGTAGAATATGTTGAAAATACACACTTTTGCTTTATAAATAGGACTTTATATAAATCTAGCATAAGAAGCTAGAAATGGATCTGACATATGAATTCGATATATTTTAAGAAGTCTGGAATATGTACCTGAAATACGAGACATCCTTGTAGAAAAGTAACATTGCTCTAAGTCTTCAAAATGAGCAGTGAGTCGTTTTCTTCGTGATGCTAATGTGCTGTTATACCATGGCTGCTTCTTTGTCTAAAGTAGTTAACAAGAAAAGACACTTGTAACTTAGAAAAAATGAGTCTTTTTCTGCACAGAATATCTAAATGATTGCAAATTCAAAATGTCAACACATTAAAATAACAACAAATAGTAAATACTCATAGTTCTTAGACCATATTTTTCTATTTTTATTTTAAAATGCAAATAGGTCTGTATGTTGGTAAATTGAACACCAATAAAAATTAATTTATTAAAAATAAATAAATAAATAAATAAATAAATAAATAAATAAATAAAATAAAATGCAAATAGGCTCAGGGTTGGGATGCCATGGGGAGGAGTTGGAGGCCAGGTCCTGATCCTTAGCCTAGAATTCCTAGGGAGTCAGGTTATACTATGGAAGGGAGGGGGTGAATCTATTACCATACCTCAGGTACCATACCTCAGGTAACAGGGGGGTGCATAGGTGGGGAGAGGAACCGGGTGGCCCACAGGCCAGAGAGGAGGGAGTTCTACGAATGGCAAAAGGCTTGAGGATGGGGCCCCTTGGGGTAGGCGGACAAGGCAGCCCTGCAGGAGCAAGTGGTGAGTCCCACCCCCTGGTTGGTAGAATATGGTTTGCTATAAAGCTCAAGCCTTCTAGCCAAAAAATAAAATAAAATAAAATATGCAAATAGGCTCTAAAGGCCAATTTTATAAGAATGAAATAAGAAACCTTTCAACTCTCCAAATTAAATGAAAACAGAAATCATTATAACTATCATGCTAAATTTACAATTTTGAGGATTTTAAGATAAAGAAATTGTTAGAAAACAATGTTCAAAAGAAAACTAATTACTTTTTCACCACCCTTATATGGACTCCTTGAATAACAGAAACAGTACTTGATTGTCAGAGTATATATTTAAGTTAATACTGATTACTAAATTAAGGGGCAGGGCAGCTCCGGTGGCCCAGGGGTTTAGCACCGCCTTCGGCCCGGGGTGTGATCCTAGAGACCCAGGATCAAGTCCCAAGTCGGCCTCCCTGCATGGAGTCTGCTTCTCCCTCTGCCTGTGTCTCTGCCTCTCTCTGTGTCTGTCATGAATAAATAAATAATATATTTTTAAAACTTAATTAACTAAGGGGCAGTAATATGAATTAATTGATTAATAATTAATTAATTAATTAAGGGGCCGTAATGTGAAACATGTATAGACTAGTCTGACATACACATTAGAAGATCAGAATAACTAAATCAGATATATATAAAGCCAGCAAACCTGAAATACCTGAAATTGGTATGTAAATTGGCAAAAAACCTGAAATTGGCATGTAAATCTATGAAAAACAAAGATCTATGATCCTCAATATATAATATGCTGAAGCCATGTTAAATCAAAGGATAAGACTATTCTTTTTACAAATGGTTATCATCTATGATTACGCTCGGGGCACATAGACACAAAGATGAGACAGGTAACCAGAACTTGAGATGACACAAGTTAACCATAACTATACAACTGCAAATGTATTTAAGTAATAAATATTAAGGTACTACTACCTTGAATAAAACACTGTAAAGTGACCCTTGCTAAAACTAGATGGTAGAGGGCAGCCCAGGTAGCTCAGCAGTTTAGCGCCGCTTTCAGCCCAGGGCGTGATCCTGGAGACCCAGTATCAAGTCCCACATCATGCTCCCTGCATGGAGCCTGCTTCTACCTCTGCCTCTGTCTGTCTGTCTCTCTCTCTGTGTCTCTCATGAATAAATAAAATCTTAAATAAAAAAAAAAACAAGATAGTAGATAAAAAGCGTATTTTAAAGCACTGCTTGGATCACAAGAAAATAAATAAGACAACTTTAGAAGGCATAAGAGACATACAACCAAAGAGGAAGCTGAATCAGAGAGGTGATATTAAAATATAATGATGCAGAGGAGGGCAAAGACAAAAGGAACAACACTTAAATGTACAAATACCTATAAAAGGAAAAAACACTAAAACTGAGATTTAGAGGCTGAAAAGTAAATCTGTGAGCCAGAAGATAAATCTAAAGGAATTAACCAGATCTAAGGATAAAAAGAAAAAAGGACAGAAAATTTGAAACAGAGACTAAAAACAATCAGACAGAAAAGATAACTTACCTGACAGGACCAACAACTAAAATAGTTAACAGCAATAAAAGAGGCTAGGGGAGTGAACTTTGGTTATGCTCAAAAAGTGAAGAGAAAACAACTCCAATCTAAAATTCAAATCCTGACAAAACTATCCGGCAACAAAATAAACATTTTTTTCATGTGAATGAAAACAAAAGACTACTGCCTATAAGCCATTTCTTTAAAGAAAGTGTGAAATCATGTGCTTGAAAAATTCAGTAATAGAAACCAGAAGGCCTGAGACACAAAATGAAAAGAAGAAAAGTCTAACCAAATAAGTAATTTTAAGTATTTTAAACACTGTTTTTAACATTAATTAGAATATTAAAATTATGGGCCTTAAGAATAAGACAGAGTAAATACACCAAAAAAAAAAGCATGTAAATCAGTAGAGTGAAAAAAGTCTCAATTCTGGAGCACTTACATTATTCAGGAAAGTAATTAAGGTGTTAAATCTAATGAAAATATGTTCAACATCACTGATCATCAAGGAAATATAAATGAAAACCACAATGAGATATCACCTCACAACTGTCAGAATGGCTAAGTGTTGACAAGAGAATAAGGAACCCTTGTACACAGTTAGTGGGAATGAAAACTGCCACTGTGGAAAACAGAATGTGGAGATTCTACACAGAATTAAAAATAGAACCAAAATATGATCCAGTAATTCCTGTCCTATGGATTTACCCAAACAATATGAAGATACTAATTCAAAAAGATACAAGTACCATAGGTTTACCACAATATTATCTGAATAGCTGAACTATGAAAGCAGCCCCAGCGTCCACTGATAGATGAATGGATAAAGAAGTCACATACACAGAGACACACACAGTAGAATGGATAAAGATGTCAAACACACATGTGTACACGCATGGGCACAGTGGAGGGAATATTACTTAGCCATGAAAAAGAACAAAATCTTGCCATTTTCAACAACATGGATGGATCCAGATAGTACATGCTAAGTCAGAAAAAGGCAAATGTCATATAATTTCCCTCATATGTAGAATTTAAGAAACAAAACAAATGAGCAAAGAAAAAGAGACACTCTTAACAACAGAGAACAAACAGATGGCTACTAAAGGGGAGGTAGATAGGGAGATATAGGGACACTTGGGTGGCTCAGTGGTTGAGCGTCTGCCTTCAGCTTAGGGCATTGATCCCGGAGTCCCGGGATCGAGTCCCGCATTGGGCTCCTGCATGGAGCCTGCTTCTTCCTCTGCCTAGGTCTCTGCCTCTCTCCCTCTCTCTCAAATGAATAAATAAATAAATCTTAAAAAAAAAAAAAGATAGATGTATGAGATAAGTAAAGGGATTGATTAAGACTATACTTATCACAATAAACACAGTAATGTATAAAATTACTCAATCACTATATTGTACACTTGACCAAATATAACATTGTATGTCAACTATACTGGATTTAAAAAAATTTTTTAAATATGATAATAGGTCTAAATTCTGTTTAGTTTGGATAAATTTCAAGGATAACTACTGAAAGCATAGTAACAGAATAGGTAATGTTTAAAACGTTAAAATGGTAGGAAAAGGGGGGTAAAAACATAAGAGAAAAACACAAAAATTGAGACAAATAGCAAGCATTAAAGAGTAAAACAGTGAAACTATATCAATAATTGTAATAAATATTACTAAATTAGTGATAGAAAGGAATTTTAAAATATAAACTGTATGGTATCTGCCAAAAAAAAAATCACTGAAAACATAAAGACACTGAAAACCTGGAAATAATACCATGAAAAATAATACACTAGGCAAATGTAATCAAAGGAGGAAAAACAGACTCCAGATGAAAAGCATTAATGGGGGGATCCCTGGGTGGCGCAGCGGTTTAGCCTGCCTTTGGCCCAGGGCGCGATCCTGGAGACCCGGAATCGAATCCCACATCAGGCTCCCGGTGCATGGAGCCTGCTTCTCCCTCTGCCTGTGTCTCTGCCTCTCTCTCTCTCACTGTGTGCCTATCATAAGTAAATAAAAAAATTTAAAAAAAAAAAGAAAAGCATTAATGGAACTGGAAATAGCACCGGGAAGTGTAAAAGTTTCAATGTGATAATTGTACACCTAGTATACATATAATAGTACAGCCTCAAATACATATATATATAAAGCAAAACTTCCTACAGATATTGACAAACCCACCAAAAGGGCAGAAGATTAACCTCATCAACTCAATAGAGAAATCGATATGATCTATTTTTTAAAATTTAATGAATTACATATAGAACGCTGTATCCAATGAGAAACAGATTTTTCTTAAGCATACATGGGAGCATACACGGGACATTTACAAAACTGGCATGTGCTGTGACACTAGATATGTTTATAATCTCAATAGGTCAGAATTTCTTAAATGGAATACAAAGGGCACTGATAATGAAAGTTACAAATTCAGTAACTTCAATTAAGAAACTCTGTTGATCAAAATTCATCATTAGAGAGAAGATACAAACTAGATGATATTGGCAACATTTGCAACACCTAAGAAACAAGTTATTACTACTTTGAATATACATATATAAGTTTCTTCAAGTAAAAAAACAGAAGATTGATATAAAAAACTTAGAAAAGACATCAAATGCTATTTCACATAAAGGACAATAAATATAGGATGCTGGCTTTAGAGTGTCGGAAAAATAAGAATTAAAACCACAACTAACTTATATTCCTATACACTAAAGTGGCAACCATTTAGAGGTTGAATAATACTAATTACTGACAAGGATGTGGTGAAACTAGAATTCATATACTTCAGTGATAGAAGCTTTAAATTAATAAAAAGACTTTAAAAAGAATTTGGTATCTCAGAATACAAAAACCATTGATATGTCTACTCTGTTACCCTCACTTCCTCTCCCACGTACGGTATCTAGGGAA